CAACTAGCAAAATTGCGCTCTCAAGCGAGGATAACAAAAGCGGTTCAGGAAAAAATTGCTGGAACGCAAAAAAACACTTTTAAACCGATTATATAAACTAGGGGGATTGACTCGGTTTTACAAATCGGTTTCCACCGTTTTTTTTTTTTATATCTATAGGCGGTTTTTTGGAAATCTGGATTTCTCGAATATCGAATAAATCGGATTTTTTGATCGAACAAACCAATTTTTTTCAATTCCTTCAAATTTTGACCCCTCAATAAAAGTTTTGAGTTTCTCGAAGTTTTTAAGGCTTTTTCCAGTTTAAGGGACGAAGTGCACTCGAAGGTTTGTCATTGTCTCTGTCGAGGGACGACCGCTATTAAAAAAAAATTTTTTTTGGTACTGGGACCAGAAATTGAACTATGGATCTCCTGAGTGGCAGTAAGCACTCGGCTACGGCAACAAGAGCACTACTCACATCCGAAAAATGGCACAAAAAATACAATAAAATATTAAAAAAGTTAAAATAAATAAAATACTTTTTCTTCATTAAAACTATCTTCACTGTTAATAGTTTTATTTTAATTTTTGGTCATGACTTTATGCCAACATAAGCGTTTTAACGATTTTTTCTAACTTACGAAATCGGGAGTCCTTTCTTTTCAAATTGCAATTTTTCGAAAAACTCTAAACTTTGAAATTGATTGGTGCAACCGGGTATCGGTCTTTAGATTTAAAATTGACTGATATTTCCATAATTATTTTGCTGAAAATTTATGAAGACAGTACAACGAAATTTCAAATAAGAACAATGTCTTACGACCCCAAATGGCTAATTTCCATTTCACTAAAGAAACCTTTTATACTTTTCCTCACTGCTTAAATTTTTTGTTTACAAATACAAAACTGTTGATCATTTGACGGTTTTCATTAACTTGCCAGAAGGAAAATTTCGCAGAAGGAGCCTAAGTCGCTGGAACGCATCTAATTTAAGCTTATACTCTTCTGAGGTGATATTTTAGAAAAAATATGTATTTAATTTTTATTTAAGTTAATCCGGAACTGCTTATAGATATAGCACCAATAACAAAAACAATTCAATGTCCTTTAAAAATTCAATTAGTGCAGTAAATCTAATGCAGGGTATATTTTGACTTCCATAAAAAATCTCCGAGTAATGACACTAATCTTAAAGATAGGTACTTAGAGAAAAACTCTATTTTTCGAGGTATGTATTTTCAACTAAGTCCAGCTCACTTAAATCTAAATATTTTTCCGCAATATCTTAGCGGAAGTCTTAAATTATAAAAAATTTTATATTTCAATGGTAAAATAGTCTATTTTTTATATGGAGAGTGATGCACCCTAATGTGCATATACATGCATATATGGATGTATAGATACACACATACATACATACTTAAATATACATATGTATGTATGTATGTACAAG